CGTCCCACATTTTCACCATTTTTACCAGTATTGTGATGGTGGTCTATCTTTGGCTGAAGGCTTGTATATAACTTGCTAAAGCTTCAATACAATACAATATTTCGTTCATATCAACAAATTTCAGCAGTTCATGAAATGGACAAGCACGTATAGGCATAGTGTTATACAAGACATAAGTTGTGGCTAGAATACCCAGGGATTTGTTCCCCGACAATAATGCAAGGTGACCCCTCTTTTGATGAACACTATTCTAGATACACGTAGTGGAACAACGATCGCAATGATCCTTGATCTGAAAGGAGATTACGATTCTGTTGACCATGAAGAGCTAATCAGTTCGATTCATCACCAAGCAGTATGTCAGAAACATGTTAACCTGTTAAGGTTACTGCACTTCCATACAGCTGATCGGGATAGTCTACGACAAACTAAGTAGCTTTCATCAAAATATAAAAATGTATGAAGAAATGAATGGGTGCACAATCAGACTGTACCCTCTGTGTTCACGTACCACCACTCACACCCACCTTAAGGACAAACCTACTCTGTAACTATATTGCACAGCCTAATCACTGTGCACTGATTGCAACCTTGTTAACAGTCTTCGAAGATCAATAAATAGTAGTTTGCCATGCGAAGATGATTATGGCGATGATAATGATCGAACCTCGAAATTCAGATCACTCCAGTGCTCGATCACCCGAACAAACGTTAAGCTGTTTGGTCAACTTACACCCAGTGATCGAATTTCCCATGAAATGTCACCATGGGTAAGAAATGCTGGCTAAATGCTTGTTAATTTAGACTCTTGAAAGTATCAACGTGACCCTTATTAGTATCGACTCTAAATTCGAACAATCTGGACACAGAATGAGGAGATTTGGAGACAGTCGAGGTAAGGTAAAAGAACTCTATCATAATATGACACGACGCACAATATCTATTTAGCTATTGTACTTGGCATTTTAAGCAACCGTAGTGGTACCTCCTGAATCGAATCTCGGATGCATTTGATAACAGGAGATACGTTTTCGGGGCTTTCGCTGCGAACACAAAACAACTGCTTGTTTACTATCCGAATACAAAATGATCGAGCAGTTATCCTACTTTGCACATTCCATAGAAGCGTTATCGTATGGGCACCAATCAAGAGGCGCGGGTACCTGTGTGCTGTAATCGCAACAACGGACTAAAAAATGGATTGTTGTAACTTCAGTCCTCAAGGGACCCGAACGAGTGTGTGGCTCGGTGATAGTCACTCAAGTACCGTAATTGTTCGCTATCCACCGCCCCCACACGGCTATTCCCAGAATCTCTCACCGCTGTCTGTACTGTAGTGAGTGCACACGCGCGTGCACTAATCGGAGGGATTGTGTACGTACGGGCTTGCGCATGAGAGTTGCGGCCATGACATCAACGCTAACGACCTGTGATTTTTACATACTGAGTGTCGGCAGAGAATTGGACTAGGGTCTTTCGAAAATAGTGAGGTTTCAGAGATGCCGACGTACTGGTACACTGCTGAATAAACTTTCTTTCTGTTCAATATTCGCTGAAATAAATAACAACGGAAGAGGAACCGGAGCATTCACCGTAGGATTTTTCATCAATATTTTTATGTATACTTAGTCGATTATCATATTAGTTCTTACAATACTCTTTGACGTCTCTTTCGGGTGTTGAACACACCATGTACAATCAGTTTTCGGGAGGGGGGCTTGTGAGTAATCCAAGGGACTAAGCTGTCCGCATAAAGGTTCACGAGACACACTGTAGGTGATTGAAAAATTGATAAAGACAAGGCAGTTTTGACGGTGGATGTCTTGCACTCAGTCCATCTACTTTAGGTATCCTTAATCGAATACAGATTTGAGCGGGACAACTGCATTTATATCCTCATATCAGTTTTTCGGAGTAAAAGAACTAATACTTAAACATATGTGTGATGGCTTGATTTGAATTAAATTGAACTGATAGGAACTGGAATCCAACGGGAATGAATGAAACAGAATCAAACTGATGGATGAGTTGACTTAAAAAGCATACAACCAATGTATGTCACGGATCACGCACTGGATTTGCACTGCTCGGCCAACAGTTTGTTGCGACTGCTGAGTCGGCTGTTGTGACTGATCCGTTGAAATGATGTTCTGTGTCGGTTGACTTACGACCGGTTGCGGATAGAGAAGGAGAGGGGGTTGGCCTAGTCCGCCTCCCGGTTGTTGCGGCTGTTGCGATTGCGATGGCAGGTTCATGGTTGCCTACATACACGCAAATGCAAATAAAAGTGAATACAATAAGCGTGCAGTGTGAGAGTTGAAATTTACCGCGCACGCACACACGCACACACCAAACATGCGCAGCAATGCAGACAAGCGAATTTGAGCGCGCTGGTTCACACAGACACACAAAAAGACAGAAAGGAAGAGAATTGAATGAACGGGAACGTTGGATACGCGATTGCCAGTAGAGTCAAACGGAACAAAGCCCTACGAAAGTTTGACGACGGAATTTCACTTTCTCCTCAGCCTTCATCCGTTCTGATGCACGAATCAAGAAGTCAAAATACCACATGCCAATTAGGGAATAAGAATAATCGACTAGCTCAGGGTTTTCAGTGTGTATAAATGCTTAAGACTGAAGAGCTACATACAAAGAAAACAAACTGATGGACGACTCAAGACGTACTTCAAATGATTATTAGTTTTATCTATCACTCATACTACCAGGGATGGTGGTACGGCTTATTTACCTGTGAAGCATATGAAAAAAAAAACAGTCGGTTAGCACAGCGAGCACATTTGTCAGACACGGGCAGAACCCCGAACGATTCGATATGGTAGAATTAGGCAAAAACTCTTCACCTGTCAAACTCAGCACAACAAGTGAGTCGGATGTCGAGTTACGTGAGTTCGAGTACACTTCCAGCGTACACGGACACAGAGAGAAATCACCATGTTATTCAGGCGCATCAAAATTGTGCTTCTAGGGTGTGTGTGTGAGAGAGAGATACGACGGATCAGTTTCAGCATGGTGTTTTATTGGCAAACGGGAAAACAGTGTAGAGGGGTTAATATTAAGACCTAATACTCTCAACAAATATGACCCGACAAACTGAGCCTCGTGTGCAGCAAAATTAACTCACAAAGTGGGCACGCACACGCACGCACACACATACATACACAAACAGATGGAAGGGAGCCTGGATCAAATTCAGTCATACAAATGCATTGATTTTACGGTTCAGCATTTATGTCCCCAGTCCGACGGGAAATGAGTTAAACGAATTGGAACATTGCGAGAGAAAGAAATGTTAGCAGATCATCAGTTTTACTTCTGGCATACACACACACACACACACACGTGCGCGCACAAACACAAAGACACAAGCATGGGGAGATGCGCAAGCATGGATGAGGTGGTCAGCACCTGATATTGGTCTTGCTGTTGTGATTGTGACGGTTGTTGCTGATGCGACACTATTGCACTCGGAATGGTCTGTCGCGGTGCGGATAAGCTCACCGGTAAAGTGACTAAGCGTCTTAGACTACCACTAGGTCCGCCACTCTGAATCAACACAATCTGAGTCGATTGAAGGTTAAACAAACCAACACGCCGACCAAAACACAGAGTAATTTAGTCAATTGGGGGTGAAGTGGACGAACGGTCAGGCAATATGGTCAATAGGGTAAAGATAACACAGGTATAGCGGTGAACAGGAAAATAAACCAACCAGAGGAGTAGGGTGGAGAAGGGGGAGAAACAAGGACCGCATCAAATGGATTGTAATGAGAAATACTGGATGGTACGAGCACGAAATGTCATATTCAAAGAGATCACATTCTAGTACCAGGGGAATAGAGGCACAAATTTACGGAACTCATAACTGATGGCAAGGACGTACACAAATTGATTAGTTCGGAGTGTATATAAGCCTTACATTTTATTAACTCAATGTGGTCCACAAGCTGGAGAATTTCTGAAATTTTGGAACCGGAGTGATTGCTTTGGATAAATTTGGTTCGTGGTAAAGTAACAAAATCAATGGATTCATATCCTGATAACTCGGAAACTGAATTTTCTTCTCATTGTGGGAGCACATTCCACCACGCTGAAAAGCTCAGAGAATACCACATTCAATCAACGTGGCAGTTGCTATGAGCATAAAGCTACGTCTGTAAAATAATTTGGAAAAGGATTCGGAGTAATTATTCTTACGATACACCGTCATAGGCGTGTACGAGACATGTGATGGAACTAACACTTCTCATCTGGCAGACTGTCGTGTTATTGGGACATACGACACCTCTTCAATTTCTATCCAGCCCTCACTTTGGCTTAAAATTGACGCGTGCATCAACGACCACATGCCACAATCCGTTAGACACGTGGTTTAAACTGGGTTGAAGGTTTAGGCCTAAAGATCTCAGCAAGACACTGTGTGCATGGTAGATGAGGATTGTAACTACATGGAGAATCAACGAGATCTACTCCCTGATCCCACAACTATAAAGGAAAACTGTTCGACTGTCGAAAATGCTGCATCTCTAGGCTGCACCTGCATCTGTAGAACAGCAAATGAGCTTCTAGGGGGAACCAGAAACTAAGCATCAACACACGACTGCTTTGTAATTCAATTTTCGCTGGCATATTAGAAATGCACCCTTGAAGAAAGGCAGGTGACTGTGAGGACATCACCTGAACCAAATTCAAATTCAGGATCCTCATGAAGCCTACTTGAACTCAATAAACCAGCCGTAGTAGAGCATAAAGCACTCTGAAAGTTTGACAGCATTTACCGTATTATTAGCAGTTTCATCATACAAACAGGCAATATTCTACTTACTCTAAATAACCGCAGCGATGAGATGATGCTGCGACATATTACAGAGGATCAGAAACCTTAGTAAACTGTTAAACCATATATGTATAACACTAAAATAGCTAGCAAAAGCTAAATAAAATGTATAATACGACAAAAACAACCAAACTGTTATGCTTTAACATAATTTGTAAGAATCCATGAAACTAACTCGATTCGGAGTGGATAACACGGCACCAGGCTGATTTGGTTGTAGCTGCTGAATACCAGATTGGTTGTCCGTGCGTTGCTGGGGGATAGGTTGCGTTTGGTAAACAGTTTGTTGCATGTGTAGAGATTGATTTGTCTGTGGAGCTATCGTATACAATCGCGGCGGCCGATTCACTCCTAGGGCAGTTGGTTGCGGTCCCATGGTTACAGTCGTGCTTGCCGGCAGAACATGAACAAGCTGACCAGACTGGGAGACGGTTTGGGGTTGCAGAACCAAACCGGGACGTGGTCCGGGCATCAAATGAGCGGAAACTGATTGTCCCGTGTTAGCAACATGATCTGGATTCTGAGCCACGGGGACCATATGAGATCCCGTAGCGTTGCTAGTTGTACCAGGGGGCGCTTTTCAAAGAAATGATGAATGATCTGTGAAGCACTGAGAAAAACTCATTATTGACCAACATTACATCAGTAGGTAATCGGTAACCCCATATTAACCATGAATCATTGATGAAACGTGTGAAATTGGTGCTCTTTTGGGAAAGAAAGGCTTTCAAAATAATTGTCCTATGATTTAGGGAACTTCGAGAGACCAAACATGTAATGACTTCGGGTTTTGGTGGGCTGGAATGTTCGCCGTCCGTCTGCCGTTCGAGATGGACCCTTGGCCTGAAACATTCAGTGCAACACTATTCTGTGGTAGTAGTTCAGTGTCCAGGAGTTGTAGTGCGAACTAGGAAGATTCAAACCTGTCTTTCATAAACTTCATTTGTAATGAGCTACCATCTTGATTCTGAGCTCTTAATGTCAAAACACGGATAAGCGGTGAAGAACGTGTCCCGCGTTATCTGCAATGTGTGCCTCTGTCCGATTGCAACGACAACTTACTTCAATCTGATTAGTGCCATCACTGAACCTGTAGTCATGTGTTCTGGTTGCTGCTTTCCGGCCGGGCCTTTGATCAGCCAATGAGCAAAACGTCAAGACCTGAGGATCCAGTCGACCGCGTCAACTAACTCAGAGCACACAACATTAGTGCACGAAAAATCAATTGAAATTCCCCCTCCCCTTTGATGTCCCTGGGATAAGTGATCCTCTCCAATGGTTAGGCTGAAAACGAAGTAACCAATCTAACAGACAAGGCTCGAGGAGCGTCCTAAAAAAATGAGGAGGTTACAATGGAGATTGATTTTAGCACTGAATTCCGGATCCAACAGGTTTCCAGACGCTCCATACCTCTAGGGGCTGCGAAACCAGGCCGCTGTGTGTCGAAGATGTAAACAAACTCGACTATTAGACTATTGGTGCTTAAGAACTATACTCATGGTTTCATGAAAGGACAAAACTGTCAACAAAGAAATATGACGCTGACAACACAGCACTCGACGAAGAAAAGCTATCGTTGAACAGGGTCGTTTCAACGGTTTAACCACGTGTTGCTTCGAACAAAGGACCAGTTGGCTGTTCAATCTGCTTGTACCCCTAAGCAATCTCTTGATCACCCATTTGCTTAATCTACCCCACAGTACGGTAGTAGTTGAGCCCACGACCAAGGGTCTAGTGCACAGAATTCAATCATCCACTCACCAACAGTGGTCCCATTTCTTTGCTTATTCCTCCCACGACCTCAGACCTTGAATTNTATATATATATATATATATATATATATATGACAAACTGCCTCTTCGTGTGCAATAATGAGTCCAAATTCGTTCGATTGTCATCAACCCGGTAGTTGGGATGAAAACATTGAGCGTATGCTGTTGTCTTCAGTTCACTCCTTCGCCTGCTCCATTTGACCCAAAAACAATTGTTACTCTGCTTCAACAACATGCAATTTCGCTTTCCACCACTTTCTTATGTGTCAATATCCTTAAACAAATAGTACCTGATGTTCCCTTAAATTTGAATTCAACTGGGTCAGGCTGTTTGTTCTTATAAAGACTAATACTTATGGATTCAACACTGTCAATGTACATAACGGATTGGATAAAAAGTGGTTAAAATATCATGAGGTTCTCCGGAAAATTTACATACTTTACTTACCTGAGTTCAACACACGAGAGAACAATTCACAGTAAACTTTCTAGAGGTCAAAAGGAGTGAAATTGGGAGAGGGGACAACAAACTACCTTCACTCCACGAGACTTCTCCAGCAAAACCTTTTCAATCTCCTCCGGAGTTTTAGTGAAATTCCTGGTGGCCGCTAATTCACGTCTAAAAATATGAATGAATCGATGATGTCCAGCCGATTGAACGTGAAAACACTGAGAAAAATGTGGCCAAAAAAGTATCTAATAAGATAGCATCCTGTATTACCATTCAGCAGCAGAAACTGATGAACACCGGTGAAATGAGGTCATGAGATAGTAATCTGTGTTTATCTGCCATGACTATAAGGTTACATTAGTCGATGGCTCAGTTCCCTGGCGCAGTAGAACAACAATGACTGCAATAGCAAATTGACATAAGTAGAAATTTGAAGAGTAAAGCACAAGAAACCGAAGTTGCAAATCCCGATAAGCCACAGAAGGCCGATTCATAATCAACAGCAACGCCTTGCACGCTGGGCGGAGCACTTCAAAGCACAATTTAGCAGGCCACCAACGTTAGCTTCTCACAGCTATTCCAGCACACGCCCTATGGTCTGTCACAACAGACCCACCTTCTGAGGCGGAAATCCGTAAGGAGGTACAAGTCTTGGGACGTCACTAAACGCCGGCCTCCGATGGCCTTCCCCCAGCTCTATTTAAAGATGGTGGGATTAGGATTGTTAGAGAACTACAAGTTCTGTTCTCTAAAGTGTGGAACACTTAGCAGGTCCCGTCGTCGTGGGGGAAATCGACTGTTGTCCCCATCTTCAATGACTGCGCCAATCACAGGGACCTTACTGCAAAAACGTCAAAGCTGTTGGCGTCCGTCATTCTCCGCCGGTTGTACACTACGCGTGATGAGAAGACTCGCGAGGAGCAGGCTGGGTTTCGTGCCGGTTGTGGATGCATCGATCAAATCTTCACCCTGCGACAGCTGCTAAGGCACCGTCATGCTTATCAAAGACCAACAATCATTGTATTCTTAGACATCCGAGCGGCTTTCAACTCTGTCGATAGGACCGCACTATGGAACTGTTTGCTGAGGAATGGAGTACCTGAGAAGTATGTGTCGATCCTCAAAGAGTTGTATCGTCATACCTCAGGTCGGGTTAGGGCCTATGGCCAGCTTTCGCCACCCTTCGTCGTCTCCAGTGGAGTTCGACAAGGCTGCCCTATATCCCCATTCCTTTTCAACTTTGTCATAGAGGATGTTCTGCAGAACGCTTTGTCCGGCCTAGCAAACGGTGGGGTTGAACTCCTCCCAGGGAACAGAGTTCTTGACTTGGAATATGCCGATGACATCGCCTTGCTGGGTGACAACTCACAGGCAGTCCAAGAGGCTCTGAACCGCTTGGCGATCGAGGTAGCCAGATATGGTATGTGCTTTTCACCTTCCAAATGCAAAGTTCTTGTTCAAAACTGGCAGGAGCCTGTGCCTGCACTCACCCTCTGTGGTGATCAGCTAGAAGTAGTTGAGAGCTTTAAGTAACTCGGGAGCTTGATCGCAGCTGGTGGAGTGTTGGGAAGATCACATCATGAATAACGAAAGCTAGAGCAGCTTTCGCCAACCTGCGACACCTGTGGTGCCGCCATAACATCCGACTGTCCCTTAAGGGTAGGGTGTACATCGCCGCGGTTCGTAGCGGTCTTCTTTATGATTGCAAGACCTGGCCCCTCCCTGGTGAGGATGCTAACCGACGTTCTGTATTTGATCACCGATGTCTTCGAAGCATTGCTCGTGTCTGTTGAGAAACTCGGGTGAGTAGTGACGAGGTTGATAGTTGTGTTTGGAGCGGATAGTAGTTCTCTGACGGAAGTAATCGCTCTACATCGCCTCCGATGGCTTGGTTACGTATTGCGTATGCCTGCCCATCGACTACCTTTCCGTGCTTTCTTCGCGCGTGCCGGGCAAGGCTGGAAGAAACGCCGCGACAGTCAGACCATGACATGGCGTAGAGGTACGAAGAAGCTAGCTTAGCTTTGGCTTCGGTTGATGCAGCCCGCCTTCCAGGTAGGAGCCCAAGGGATGAGAATTGTCGTTGGTTAGAGACGCTAAGAGATATGGTCAAGAACAGAAATCAGTGGCGCGAATGCTGTACGGTCTGTCTGTCGAAGTCCCGTGCCCCGTAAAAGCAACAAACAACATAAATATATCAAAAAGTGCAAGGTGAAACACAGAAACATTTTGTTATCCCAGTTATCGTCCATTTTCCCGGGTTTAACTGTTTCACCCTCTTTCCATATATATATATATATATATATATATATATATATATATAT